CCAACTCTCTTAGGAGTTGAGGCACCCCTTCCAGTAACTTTCCAATACAACTCTCTCAGGAGTTGAGGCACCCCTTTTCCAGTGCTTCTACAATCCAACTCTCTTAGGAGTTGAGGTACCTATTTTCTAGTACCTTTTGCAATCCACCCTCACAACTCCTTACTTGCTTTCCAGCCTTCTGAGGGTGATCTCTCAGGGTCTCCTTTCTTTCCTGATGTCGGTGAAACCTCCATTTGTGGCTGCTCTTGGCCACTAAGTCCGAGTATTGGGCGAAAGCCTGGAGATTTGGATGAACCACACGACTCCTGGCCCTTTTCTGAGAGAATCTCTCTCACCTTTATTGTGGAGCAGCCTTATATACAAACTTACAAAAACCCCAGGTCAAAGGGTTCACAACAGGATATTGATCCCAGTGGGGTGAGGTCAGGAAAACAAGAGGTACCTGTGGTTATGCTGGAAAACAACTCTTAGAGACCCCGTGGGGGCTGGGTTCCAACAGCAGTGTGTGCCAAAAATTAACAACTACAGCTTCCTCCTCCCAATGACTGCAGCCTGAGACTGCTCCCTTACAGAGAACTGTCTATCAGACTGGCTAACCCTTCCTTCTGTGCTGTACATAATAAAAGTGTTGAGTTCCTGGGTTGCTATGCAGTAACTGGTCCATCTCCATCAGAGCATACAAGCCCACTCCATCCCCGACTTTCTGTGTGTCCTTTCTTTATTCCTTTATTGCCCTATTCAGGGGACCAAGCTCGGCTGGATGTGGAGACTTCCTATCTTGTATATTGAAGCAGGGTTTCTCACTTGAACCAGATCTTACCAGTTTGGCTAACATGGTAGACATGCTCTCAGTATCCTGTGTCTACCTCCTAGACACTGGAAGTACAGTGACCATCATATCCACTTAGCATGACATGGTTCTGGGGATCCCAATTCCAATCCCCACACCTGCATAGCAAGTGCCCTACCTTTGGAGTCAGCTCCCCAGTCCCTATAATGAAAATTAAAAATGTAAACCTACTTAAATAAGTCTTAAGTCTATTACTATGGATGTTACTATATTCCTGGCATTAGGTTTTAACATGTAAAGCAAGATTCAGGCTATGTGACTAAAGGATATTTTACCATTAGTGATTATAATGTGACCACCTGCCAAATTTAGGGCTGCCACTACTAATAGAAAAGAAACCTCCCAAATGGATGTTACAAGCTCTAGGCTACCATACCTCTCCAAGTATTCACTGTGAACTTTCAGTGATCTGGGAATATAAGGACAGGCCCAGAGGTGGCTTGCTCTTTATCCCCCTCACAAATGATGGTAGACATCACCTTCACCAATACTGTTTCTTTTGCTGGAAGAACAGATACTCACCTGACTGTGTAACTTCAGAACTCAAAGGGACACAAGAAAGGATCACCCAGTTCTATTGCCTAGGACCCTCAGTAGCGCTTCAGTAGGTACCACCAGGCCACTCTGCAGTCTACTTAGGGCTGAGATTAGGGCCCCCTAATGTCCAATCATCTTCATCTTCCACTTTGTGTGAGATGGTGACAGACACACATAATGGAGAAAGATAATTGGTTGTTTAAAAAGTTTTAAAACAATAAACCTATCAAAATAAAAGCCAAGTAATAATAGGGCCTTTAGATACTACATGCGTCTCTTTCTTTAGTATGGGGAGTAGATTAGTATTTGTCTTGTGCAAGAATTATTATTTGGATATTTCCAAAACCTAAGAACACCATCTGTTTTCTATGATTGAAAATCATCCAGGTCTGGGTAAACAGCCCAGCTGTGAAGTGCTTGCCCTGTAAGCTCAAGGACCTGTGTTTGATCTGACACTCAAGAGAGAAAATGCTGGTATGGCAGTACATGCTTGTAATCCCTGTGCCGGGGGAGAGAAGGATCCCTGTGCTCCTTATCCAGACATGTAGCCTTAGTTGGTGAGCTTCATGTCAAATAGAGTCCCTGTTTCTCTTGGGGCTGGAGAGACGGCTCAGTAGTTATGAGCACATACTGCTCTTTCAGAGGACTGAGCTGGTTTCCAGCACCTACACTGGGTAGTTTAAAACCATGTCGGGAGCATCGACCTGTTTGAACATGTCTGTAACATGAACAATCAAAACCTTGTAATGAAGGGACCAGCCCCCCATTTCCGCAGCCATGACAGTAACAAGTGCTCGCTATGACCTTGCCTTGGTCACTAAGATGTTAGGTGCCTGCCTCGTGGCAAGGAACCAATCAGAAGTTAGCTGGTGGCGCTATGCTTTATGGCTCTGGGTGTGCTTTACAGACAAGTGCACAGCAATGACGCGAAGAGCATAGCAACCACCCTGGGAGGGCCTGTGGGCCATAACAACCAATTGGCCAATCAACACAGGGCAAGCCCTCCAAGCCTGGAGCGCCTGGAGGCACACCAATCCTGAGCCTGTGCGTACCCCTAGACACTCCCCTTACACTGCCCTATAAAGATCTGTGCGCAGCGGCTTCAAACTGTCTTTTCTAGCCATCTGCCATGGGGGGGGGGTTTAAGACCCAAGCTAACATGGGGTTAGCTCGTTAAAAAAACAATAAAGCCTCATGCAGTTTGCATCAAGCTCTCGAATCTGCCTGGTGATTGGGGTGACCGTGGTCATGGGCTGAGACGCTGGAGGCTTGAATTTTCCGGGGGGGTTGGGGTGTCTAACATTTGGGGGCTTGTCCGGGATTTGCCACCACCCCTCACCTGAGTGGATTCGATCTTGGAGGTAAGATGACAAAACTTATATGTTCAATGTTCTGTATGTCTCTTGCTGTTTTGTTGGTTTGGTGCCATGACTTGAATTTGATCTGGGCCTGCGCAGGACTCGCATTTGTGCTGGTATTTGGAATTTGTAATTTGGACCTCAGGGGGAAGCAGACGTGTTTCAAGACTCTGAAGTCCTGCCCTGTACAAAAGTCCGAGGGTCGTTTGATTTGGACCATAGGGAAAGCAGATGTGCACAGAAACAGATGTGTTTCTGGAACCCTTGGTTTCGCCCTGGACGAAAGTCCAAGGGTTGTTTGTAATTTTGGTTTGGGGCTCTGCCTCATGGTTTGTCCTGTCTGATGTTTGTCCTGTTTTTGCTGTTTGTGTATGTCTCCGTACTAACCACCCCTCTCAGTCTGACTTTTGACCATTAGACAGAGGTGAAGGACCATAGTTAGTCAGTTAAAGTTCCGACACCCCCTTTTATTGAGTCACATGGCGCCACACTAGGTAACTTTCTTTCCCGGCCTTTGTTTCTGTAAGCCTGGAGGATTGGAATGGGCTGGGTGACTGAGCAGTTGAGCAGCAGGTTTGTTATCAGTTATCTGATTTGTTGCAGTCCATGCCCTCACCGCCTGCTTGTGTGTCAGTTTTACTATTTTTTGTTAATTTTGTAAATGTAAAGGTCCTATATTAGGGTTTACAAGAATTGTTTAGGGCGGAGGTTCGGGCGGCAGCCTTCTGAAATCTGTAGGGGAGATTTGGTTTCGGACCAAGTTGATCTCCATGGGGCTAGCCATCTGAAATTCCGAATAGGTCCCTAGTCTGTGTTAAACATCTATTTCTGTCCCTACTGCCCACGCACATGGCATGCATGGGTCAGGGCTCTTTTCTTGATGCTCTGAGCACAGTGGGGCTCGGGCGGGAGCCACCTCAACTGTGATCGGCAGATGTGCCCGGAGGACATACTATTGCTTTGAGGACACCCAGGAGGTACAAACAGTAGATATTGGGGTTCAAGCTTCAAGCTGAAGACCAGAGAAGCAAAGCAGCCAAGTCAGTAATCTTATCTCTACCCAGCTGAAATGTCAATCCTGTCTCCACTAATCCTCAGAGGTAAAAGCTCTGAGTTCCTGTCTTATATTTCTTTCTCCACCCAGCCATATCATTCCTGTCTCCACCTCCCTAGTGCTGGTATTAAAGGCCTGAGCTCTGTTACTCTTCACTCTTGTGTTGGCCAGCGTGGCCTTGAACTCAGAGAGATCCATCTGCCTGTCTACTGAGTCCTGGGATTAAAGGTGTGTGCCACCACTGCCTGGCTCTATGGCTGCTGGTATTAAAGGTGTGTATCACCATTGCCTGACCTCTATGGCTTGTGGCTAGCTTTGCTTTCTGAACCCTCAGGCAAGCTTTAATAAATCATAAATAATATATCACCACACGTGCCTGCAAAGTGAGGTGAGGATTGATAAAAGAGACAAAAGACAGAAGAGTCCAGAAGGCTGTCAGTGAATGCTATAGACATCTTAAATTTATTTCTCACAGCCCCTTCATGTCCAAAACAAAAGGGGAGGGCAAAAGACTTCCTTACCATGATACAAGGAACAAACAAGCAAAATTACCTTCTTGAGTCTCAAAACATCTAGTAACCACACCCTAAGTCAAACATCCTGTTATTTGGCCTTGAAGAGCAAGAATAAGCTTGAACTCTCTGACCTTAAGTCAAGATGGAAATAGAGTCACTGTGGGCTCCCACAGGCATAAACCTCTAGCTCCAGGGAATCTGAACCCCTCTTCCAGGCTCTGTGAGCAAATGCACTCACCTGCAAGTATCTACACACAGACATGCAAACATACATATTGTTGGGAGCCATAAGTTAAGGGGCCATTCAGAGTAGTGGAAAACTACAGGTCCTTGAAGGACTTGCCACCTGGCAACTGCTGCCACTGGCTGTTCTATCCCAGGAAGAGATAAGCAGCTCCGAGGACAAGAAACATAGGAGGTTTTCAGGCAACAAGCATTCTTTAGATAGCCGCTTATGCAAAACTAACTCCCTGCTCCCTCCTCAGTTCCTCCTCCATGTGGCCCCACGCAGTCCATCGCGGTCCATCCC